TTCAACTTCAACCCTATTAACTCTCGCTGTAAGAGCGACTTTTTTTATACGTTTTTTTTATTTCTATCACAAGACTGACTGTGATGACTTCAACGCTTTTTTTTGTTCTTAGTTTTTTTGATGTTGTTAATCTGTGTTTTCATGCGTTCAGAAAACTCGAGCTGCATTTTGATTGTGAAACTCCGACTCAGATCAAGTCATTTCATGTTGTGATGTACACTAATACTGTTTTTGTGTTTAACTTTAATTCTGAAACATTTCTCATTCATTTATTTTGTAATTGTGATAATTGCTTAAGTTTTTCTAGTACTATTAATATATTAATTTTAGTGTTTTCTAACACCGTATTCATGTCAGCTCTTTTTGTATTCTTCGAAGTGTGAATGTGGGACACCTGTATTGTATTAGTGGTGCACAGGTTTTTTTTCTTAATTGCCTTAATTAGAATATACTCCTGTGCTCGTGTGCCATTCCAGCTGCGTTTTGACGAATGTGGGGACTTTTTCTTTTCTTTCATCAAAAGAAAACGAAGCAAAAAAACAAAACAAAAAACACTACACAGCAACACGGGCTGAAAGGAGCCCGCGGGTGAGTCGCGCTCGTTTTCTCCATGCTTGCTTCGCTCGCGTGAACGCCTGCGTTTAAGTGTTTCATGACCTCTGATGAAAATGTTTTTGTAGCTTTACTTTGTAGCTTTGTTGAAATCAGTTTTATGCTTTATGTAAGGCATAAGCACAACAGCTTTACAACAAAATGATATTTTCGAATAAAGCAATGAAGTAGACGACATTTTAGTGCAATATTACGACTGATACCAGCAAAATCTGAACACGCACCCCTGAATGAACTCATTACATGCTGTCTGGTTATGTTATGATTGTCCTGTACATTCTGGTAACAACACTCCCACGCACATAAACACACACACTCCTGTATCCACAGCCTTCCTAGTTTTACACTAGTGTCTCAGGGCATCCCCACTGCCTTCTCCTTACATACAGTACACTGCCTAAAACCAAACACATCCGGCTGACGGCTTGTTTGAAAACCAGTTTGTTAGTGGTATATGTCTGTACTGGTGCTTTAGATATTTATTCCTCAGGAGTCTCAGTCACACAAGAGGATGATAAGTGTTAGAAACCAGTATTGTAGAGATTTGTCTTAAACTGTAAGAGGAGCAGGGTTTCTTGGATGTCTTTACAAGTACAATGATGTGTTTTGTGCCTGATTGTGCATTTACACCAGTGTCATAACAGTCTGTAGATTGTTTCTTAGTAAATAAAAATAACCACTGACTAATGTTTGAATTTTTAATTAAGGCCTCATTTATGTCTATCTATCTATAAATGTACACAAAATAATTTCAAAGGATGCTTTTAATGTGAACACCTTCGATCGTGGCATTTCCATCAGTTTTTATGATGCAGGCCTGGAAACCTTTTCAACTCCGAAACAAAATGCTGCAACTTTATGTGACACGACAATGCAAACCGTGCCAGGTGTAACACAAAGTTTGAAGCTTGATCTGTGTTACTTAAAGCACCGCAGCGCCGACTTTCCTTCCCTGATGTGCTGCAGCTGCGCTTCTTGCTTGCATTTAGACCAAAAACAGACCTTCAGTGTGGTGGAACTATTTTTGTTGTATGTGCAAATAGCTAAAGTGATATGAAAGTCCCCTCCTTGCAATATGTTATAATAACCACATACGCTGTAATAAGAATGCTATTTTTAAATGTGTCTCTAATTTAAGATGCATTTTACCTTCCGTGCTGAGACTCAAGTCTCAAGCCTACTTCTGTGTTGAAAATGTAAATGTACATGTTGGCGATGAGTGTGTGAGAAGAATTAAAAACATATGTGAGGAAGCGTTCTCATGTCTTCGTTTTTGCAGCTTCAGTTGAACTTAATCATCTAGTTACGTGTCCATGGTCCGGTATTGTCTGACCTGTTCATGCTGTTGGCAGACTGATACTTGATCACACTGAGAAAGGTTAAAAAAAAGATAGGGGTGCTAGATGCCGTTTATAGGTTTACATTATGGGTCACTTCAGCCTGTTGCTGCGTGGTTGCAAAATGTATATAATTCAACTCTTGTGGATCTAAAGGCAATCTTACTGTTGTGAAATGAAAACAATAGGATGGATCATAGGAAGGTCTAAGAAAACGTTATTTTAGCTCGTTGATAGGTGGTTGCCAAGCAATGTGGTGACGTCACGATATATCATTCATAATTTAGCTTTTGAGTATTAGAATTATTGAGATGTGACTTATTGAAATGAGATGTTACCTTCATGAAATAAAATGATGGAAGCTATTTTTGAGGTGTTATAAGGGCAAAAATGCTAAAAACTGATCACTTTGAGCCATTGGTAGGTGGTTGCTAGGCAACACAATGACATCATAATATCAGATGTAGATAAAAACCCTTAGGGACGTAAGATGTACCCGAGTGCCACGTTTGGTTGTTTAACTCCTGACGGTTTAGGAGGAGTTTGCGGACAAACAAACAAACACAGATCAGAAACAGAAAGTAGTAAACACGAGTCGTTTGCAGGATCAAATTTATTCTACTGACAGATCAATCCAAAGCAAAAGTCAGTTTCTCATAACTCGTCACACACTGGTGGGAGCAACGTGGGAACTAACACAGCAATGCTTCTCAAACAAACAAACCACGTAAACTGAAGCCGCGCTCCTCACTACAGTCAAATATGCAATGAGAGCAAAAGCCAACTCTGCCCAACACGTTAAATAAATCAGTAGCTTACCCAGCGGACATGCTCAGGCTGCTTATAAAGCAGGCTTACAATCAACTACCGTATGTGGTCCATGATTTAGAACAAGTCGAAGGAGATTTTCCTGACATCACAAAACACGCCCATTACTTGTTGGTTTGCATCACAGGAATAGTTTTCGATTTTCGGAAACGCAGATTCATAAAGACTTTTCCCACTCTCACATAGTTTGGTCCATAATTTGTTGCACAAAGACACTCTGCCTCTGTACACGATCACAGCAGATATGTTTTTAAATGAAACAGTCTAGATATAATTTCACTCAAGCGTTTTAAATAAAAATTAACATTAACCGTTTATGAATTATACAGACATTATATAGTCATTTTTATACAGTCTCCCATTTTCAGACGCCTGCTCCTTGTTAATATTTGAAGCTGATTCCATGTGTTGAATTTATAATTTAAAGCTTTTCACTAAAACTCTAAATATGAGGAGGCCCAAGACATGTTAGTGTAAGTGAGGGAGACCATCATTAGGCTGAAGAGCTAAAATAAACCTGTCTGATCAACAATCCAACACATTCTTCCAAAAAATATTAAATGAATGCAGAGCTCAGCAATACCACAGAAGACTAAATTAAAAGAGAAACTTTAAACCAAGTCAAGCACACGCTTGAGGAAGAAGGTGCATCGCTGTGAAAGTCTACAATCACGACACACTTTCATGAATGTTAATACAGAAGGTTTACAACAAGGTGCAAACAACTGGTTAGACTCGAGAACAGGAAGGACACATCAGACTGCCGGAAAACAACTAGAAGAGCTCACGCTGTTCTGGACAGATGCAACCCAGACTAGCTCATGGGCACGTTTGGCTGTTAGGTGCACAGGGGGGTACTAGTGTTTACTGATGATGTGGCTGTAGATAGAAGCAGTAGGATGAACTGTGAAGTGTGCAGGGTCGTACTCTCAGCTCAGATTTAGGCAAATGCTGCAAAGCTGATCAGACAGAGCTTCACTGTGCAAATGCATAAATGAGACAAAGCAAACTGCAAAAGCAACCCAAGAATTTCTAAAGGCAAAGAAATGAGATTTATCAATGGGAGAGTCATCTGATCTCAAACCAACAGAGCATGCTTTCAACTGCTGAATACAAAACTGACGACAGAGAGACCCACAAACAAGCAGCGACTGAAGCTGGCTGCAGTAATGGTAACGTCCATGGGATACAGACTTCAGTGGTTGACTTCATCAAAGTATTAATAAAAACCCAATTTTATTTGGTGCTTTCTGAGCCTCTAAAAATGGCTCTAATTCCTAAACAGTTCATGCAATTCTGTTAAACTCTTTGAAAGCTGAAGGTCTGCACTTCAATCACATCTGGTCTGTTTGATTTAAAAGCCACTGCGGTGGAGAACGGAAGCACAACTACAAAAATTCTCTTTGTCCAACAAATTATGGATCTGTTAGGGTTAAATCCAGCAGGCAGGTAGATCAGCACAAAGACTGGGAGAAGAAACCCACTTACAAACACTACAGCGTGTCGCCATTTAACTCGCTTGGTCTTCTTTTAGGAACATAATCCAAGTGGAAAATTCACAGTTAGAAATGACATTTCACTGTGGGTTAAGAAGAAGACTGAAACACGGTTTCTGTTTTAAACACTTATTTTTTGCACATATTAAACCGACATGTGTCATGTGACATGTTAATAAAAGATTTAGAGATGCTAACAAAGGAAATCTGTCACCTAAAGAGTACGGCCGGTCTTATTGCTGGGTTATTTTTCCATTCATCACTACACCACAGTTTGCACCTTGCACTACTCAGTCTATCTACATTTTTTACTCATTTTGAACTTTTGTGTTTTGATTTATAAAGTACTTATTCTACAGCTTGTGTTTCTGACTGTTGCATGTGAGCTTTTGCATTTAAACCTTCTATAAACGTAATTTAAAGGACTTTCTCGGGACACGCCCGGTAAAGGAGCTTATTCGTGCTACACAAACAAGCAATTTAACCAGCTGATGATAGTGACTTCATATTGAGTGATCAGATGCGAGAGGTGCGTCGGTTTCCCATAAAAAATGAGTCGGTGACTTTCCTTAAATGTGGAACTATCCTTTTACATATGCAGCGATTCATCCTCCTCAAATCTAACTGCACTACGGCACATCTGCATCATATAAGAATAACAAAACATGTACACAGCATAAAAAAATAATCAATTAAAGAACGTTTGGAGGCAGCATCGTAGTTCAGTCATCAGTGTTATCATTAGTGGAACTAAAGTAACTCTTTTACATGCCTCAAAAACCTCGGGCCTGTCTGCTTCAGACAAAATATCTGATTTGTTGACTTGAAGACAAAATTTTCTTTAATTCTGAGAAACTTTTCAACTACATAAGGGTGTCGCACCGTGGCAAATTTACAGAGTGTGGAAGGAGGGAGCGTTTGTGGCCAACACACTGTTGGCTGCAGGGAAATGTCTGAAATAAAGAGAGCCCGATCAGACTTTTTAGACCAAGGCTCCGTCTTGGCTTCAATACCACCTGGTGATCCAGCAGCCGCTGGCTCGGAGTCGTCACTGTTCTCGCTTCGTGCAGGCAGGGCAACAGCTGAGGCAGCGGTGAAGGCTACACCGCAGGTGTAGAACAGAGTGTTGTGCGATGGTGGAGCAGGCATCCTCCTCTCAGAGCAAGTACCAGGTGGAGAACGGAGCCTCCCTGGATTTTATAGTCTGCTGCTGTTTTCTCATCATTCCTGAGGAAAGAGATGATGCATTCATTACTCTCTTTTTTTAAAATGAAAATCCATCTGACACAAATGATTTATTTTAATACGTAAAACAGTTTAAGCAGGTAAAGATGTGGAACTTTTCCCTAAACGTTTTGAGGATAATGTCGACGTACATCTGTAGTTCTTTGTATTATAAAAAATGCTGCTTCAGAAGAGAAGCGGTGGCAAAAATTAAGACAAGAGATTTCCTTCTTTAGAACAACAACGAGCTGTAAACGTTACTAAAAATCAACGATGAGTAAAAGGCAGTCATCTCATCATAAACCTTAAAGAGTCACTGCTAACAACTAACGTGACCCTTTAGACTCGATTGCTTTGGCATCAGCAAAAAAGGATGTTTATGAATCTAACTTGTAATGATTTAGCTGCATTTTTGTGCCTGATAAGGCTGAATATGGTGGCAAATGTGGGAGTCGTTGTTTCACCCCGTCCACATTCAAGCACCACCCTGCAGTTTTCAAATTAAAATGAGGTCAGCAATGTGTCTGTGGTTGTTCCTAAAATGCAGTATATAGGTGCAAAGTGGATTTTGTAAAATTTACACTTTATAAAATAAAAACCTATATGTGCAGATGGATTTTTGAGTCCTATGTTTCCTTCTTGCTCCAGTCAGCTGATCTGAGACTCGTTGGCACAATGGCACGAAATGGCCTTTAGCATATATTTGACTGATTTTAACTATAAATTTAATACATTTTATAATTCACCTGGGTACATTAACCTGAGGTAAAGCTGATCCTTCTGCTCTTGCCCTTCCTATCAGTATTAGCATGCTAATGCAGATTTGTTTCTGTGACAGATATAAATCTTAAGTACAGTTTCATTTTAAACTAAGGCTAACTGATTTCTGGCAGATGCACGTGGTGCACTAGTGAGCACTTGCTACACTGGGATATTTATTATAAGAGATTTACTGTAATAAACTACACTGTGTGCAGGTGCTTCCATTAAATACATCCCCAACCTCACTCTTTAATAATAATAATAAAAAAGACTGTATCCGGGTCTTACATCTGTTTTCCACTGTAGATTAGCCTCTGCTGTTGGGGAGGGATCCCCTCTTTCTCCTCCACCCTTTCTTTAATCCGCTCCACCTGGATGGACATGAATTAAAATGCACTGAAAAACACACCGACTTACTATCTGCGCACATAAAAAAAAAGATAAACATGTACCTTATCTGTGGGCTCTATGTCAATCTCTATCTCCTTGCCAGTGAGTGTCTGTGACAAAAACATTGTTAAGCAAATGATTTCAACGGATCCAGCAGAGGCAGTGAGTCAGTAATAACAAGACGAGTCTCAAATCGTTCAGTATGACGGACCTTACCTTCACTTTAATCAGCATCTTTGTTGACTTCTTTGTAGAAATATCAGTCAAGTGGGATCAGTGGTGCGATTTTATATTAAAGGAATGTAAAATATCTCAAACTACGTGTTGGAATTTTAGGTTTCGATGTGGTATTTTGTTGAAGATGCGCGATATTCCTCCTCTTCCCAGAAAATCAGTGGGTACTTCCTGTGTCTTTCCCCCTTCTCGTTTGTACGTTAACCGTTCCGCTTCGTGGATTTCCGGTTTATATATATTATTTTCCGCAAAAACAAACAAACAAACAAACAAACACAACAGTTAAACCTAAATGACTTTACGTTAACTCGAGCAAGGTCACAAGAAAAGCAAACCCAAATTTCTCACCCAAGTACCTTAAAAAAGCCTTACGACATCAGTATCACATGACGTAAAGCGCAAGTCGAGTTAGTAGTTTTTACGTGCGTCGTCTCCTCCGAGCAGAAGCCCTTAAAAACTACAAGGCGGGTGCCGGCGGGTGTCCGCTACAATAAAGTTTCCCGCCAGTGGAGACGGAAGCTGAAGCGGTGAGGTTCGGACCAGATCTGTCATTTTCCCAACGGTCAGTACTTTGTTTTGGTAAATTATTAAATCGGTAGATAACGCACTCATTTTATTATTATTAGCTCATGCATACATGAACGGTCTGTGAGTGACTTCAGCTATTAACCCCGTTATGTGGTGTAACCTTGAATTTTGACATCGGAGCTAAAAAAGCAGGACTCATTAGCTACAGAAGGACTTAGTCCATTTTCATAACGCAGTCCCGGATTTTCCCCGAGTCTCTTTTTCAGTCCTAGAAGGATTCTTGGCTTTTTGAGGGTCCCTCCTGACGTCAACTTTGAGCGTACCTGCTTACAGTTACTTGTTTTTCATATACATGGCTGTATGAATGACAAAGTAAGGGGTGTCCCCTTAATATATGAACTTTGCTCTCTTTCGTAGATCCGCACTGCTCCATCTTTTTCCCTGTTAGACCGGCTGCTGCTGCTGCTTTTCGGAAATGCCTCGTATAGAGAATGACATCAAGCTAGACTTCAAGGATGTGCTCCTCCGGCCAAAACGGAGTACGCTGAAGTCTAGGAGCGAGGTGGGTAATGCAGCTGTACACAGTTTCCACAGGAAACCAGACTGACCTACATGCAGATGTTTCCATTTGCTAAATCATTAGCTATTCTTGGAAAGTGAGCACACAGGCCATGCGACAGTACTTTAAAAGGGGCACAAAAGTCACCGCAAATCATTGATGGGAATTCCAAATAACTAAAATAAATGTTTTGCCAGCTGGTTGCATAAATTAATTCTTAAGTAATTTTTTTTCGGCCTCCTCATCTACCACAGGTTGACCTGATGAGGAGCTTTACCTTCAGGAACTCTAAGGGCAGCTACAGAGGGATTCCCATCATCGCTGCTAACATGGACACTGTGGGGACCTTTGAGATGGCTGTGGCTTTGCACCAGGTGCAGAAATGTTTGCTGTTATGTATTATTTCACTGAGAAGTACTGCTGGCAGCAGTAGGGAGTGATTAAAGTAGTCCAAACAGAAATAGGTGAACCTAAATTTATCTAAGCCATGAGTAATGTGAGGGCCAGTAATCCCTACATTACACACCTGAGGATGGGCACTGATTCTCTTACCTGTCCCTGCTGAATGGGGATTAAAAACAGGAGTCTGATGCCTCAGTTTAAATATTGGTGGCTTACATGTTGAATATTTCTATATCAATAGAATGATAATACAAACAACTGTGTGTTTGTTTGTATTATCTTACAATTCTATTGACCTTCTCAGCCACAAAAAGATGACGACCACATCACAAACACAAACTTTTTTGTGTGTGTGTGTGTGTCATTCATTAATACTGCCCCTAATGGCCATCAGATGTCACTGCATGAGCAGTGTAAATGTCAACAATTCACTGAGTTCTTTTGATTATTCAGAGGCATCCAATGGAAGACAAACCACTGCTCAGTAGACCATTTAACACTTTATTACTTCTAGAAGGGAGATGCGTCCTCCATGACACGTTGCCGCGGATCTCAAAATGGTGGTGCGCCCCCAACAGTTTTATTACAGAAGCTCTCTCATTCTAGTCTAAACAACAGTGTCCCTGTAACTTTCCACTAGAGATGGTTTCCTCTTATCTACATTTTCTCAGGCAAGTGTGAGTGAGAGTCTGTAGCTTTCTACTCCCCAAGGACACACGGTCTCATGCCTTTATTTTTCAGGGCTGTGTCCACTTAATACTACTCTGTATAACTTTATAACACTCATTATTCATTATTAATAAAAAGCATAGTATTATTGAGGCACTGCAAATTATTTAATCCCAACAGCAGTGACACCACTTTTCTGTAGATCTCAAAATAAACCATGCAATGCCATCTGGAAAGTGACTGAATGGTAGCAGCTTTATTATTCAGCATGGTGATGGTTTCAAACACACTGCCAATGAAGTTAAATATACGTGAATATAGAAAACACAGTGGATCACTATCAGCCATGGATTGGCCTCCTCAGAGTCCAGATTCAATTTTATTGAAGCAGCGTGGGATCATCTTGACAGAGAACAGAACAAAAGGCAGAAACATCCAAAGAAGAGCTTTAAATGTCCTTCAAGAAGCCTTGACAACTATTCCTGAAGACTACTTAAAGAAATCACAAGAAAGCTGCCTCAGAGAGTTCAGGTTGTGTTGAAGAATAAAGATGTTCACACCAAATATTGACTCTCAAATTCGTTAGAATTGTGCAAACTCTTTTTTTGCCTTATATTTTGTATGTTCATGCATTTTTGCACCAATAAATCACTTTACCTATTTCCCATTTTTCTACCAAAATATATAGAAACTCGGGTGGCTCAAGACTTTTGCACAGTACGATAGGCTGTGTTCTTGCACTGCTGTATGTCTGCATGGATAACCTAATTTTGTTCTTTGTGTCTTCCTCCAGTTTACTCTGTTCACTACAGTCCACAAACATTACACGGTGGATGACTGGTTGGAGTTTGCAGAAAAGCATCCAGAATGTCTGGAGGTACTCACTGCTGTTTGAACCAGTTATTCTGACGAGGTTATTAATGGCGTGTTAACTGTAAGACGAGTCTCACTCTTCTGTGTTCGTCTCTCAGAGTGTGGCAGTCAGCACAGGGACCGGTGACGGTGACTTTGAGAAGATTTCGGCCATCGTGGAGGCGGTGCAGCAGCTGAAGTACATCTGCGTGGACGTGGCAAACGGTTATTCAGAGCACTTTGTCCACTTCGTCAGAGACGTCAGGGAGAAGTTCCCCTCGCACACGATAATGGTCAGTTCCTGTCTGTGAATCCTTTTAAATGCCCGAGGAAAACGACATTTCTCGGATACATGCTGATTTTTATTTTTGCTCAGGCAGGGAACGTGGTAACAGGAGAGATGGTGGAAGAGCTGATCCTCGCCGGCGCCGACATCATCAAAGTAGGCATCGGACCAGGTGAGCCTTAAGGCACTCTGCACTTGATCTTAGCACACTCGCCGTGAGGTTATCTTGCCTATTTACTGCACAGGCATATTTAAATTATAAGAACATTTTCTATATTTATATAAAATTACCCACCTTGTTTACATTCCTTTTTCTCTGCTGGTAACTATTCATATTTGCCACCATGCAGTCAACGTTCATTTGCCACATAAAGACTCAACAGTGCTTAAAACTGCTGTTTCCTGTTTGGCTCCTCCTTCCTCTGCAGGCTCTGTGTGCACCACCCGCAAGAAGACAGGGGTTGGCTATCCTCAGCTGAGCGCCGTCATTGAGTGTGCAGATGCAGCCCACGGCCTGGGTGGCCACATCATCTCAGTGAGTGCAGTCGAGAGTTTGAAGACGGCATGTTTCCTGTGTTAAAAGGAAGCACACAGGAAGTGGTCGAAGGAATAGAAAGAGAAGTGTGTCTCAAACCACAAGTTCTATTTTTTATTTTATTTTTTTGAATCCCTTTGAATCAATAACATATACCATTAATTTGTGAGATTTCTAGGTGCACATGGTTGAGTTTTATCTGTTTCTTGTATGTAAAATATGGACAGTACATTGTGTTATGCACTTTAAAACCTGCATTCTTTTTAACGGCCAGCAGGGGGCGGTTCCCCTGGTCAAGTCAGATTTAATAGATCGATAAGAAGCTGCCCCTTTTTGAGTTTTTTCATCCGAGATCTCAGTAAACACTCTCCTAAAGTGTTTATGGTCTCAGTCATTGCTTAAAGTCTTATTTATTGCAAAATATTAATTTTAATAGATTTTGGGTATATTTATATTTAGGGTAAAATAGAAGGTAAAGGGGGGTGTCCTCCACCCACGGTGGTTTTCCTATGGTTAATAAGTGACTGTTGCAGCGACATGTGGCTTAACAAAAACAAAATAAGGGCTCAGTTCAAGGTTTCGAAAAGGAAGTGTGCAAAACAAGCCCCACCAATATTATGACTGATGCTACTACTGATGGTCGGTCATTTGAAAATCAGATATATAAGTTAAACAAACTTTCCTAACATTTATTTCGTGGAGTTATTTATTTACTCTTTTACACTTTCCCCGATTGCTTGGATCAGCTGGTTGTTCCTTTTGTGTTGCCAACCAGAATCCCCCCTGGTGCACATCTGCATGTTTGAAGAGTGTTTGTCCCGCCTCTTCTTTCCTTTTTTGACCCAAATAGATAATATCAGCTGATATCCAGATCTGACCATAAACTCGCTTTCTATTTTTAAATCGCATCTCAAAGCCCATCAGTTCAGACCTGCATGCTCTTCATTATAACATGTTCTTAGTCTGTTTACCTGATGATCATTTTATTCTCACTGTTGTTATTATTACATTTATCTTTTATGTACTGTGTGTGTTTTCCACTGTTCCTGGACAGAGTTTTTACTCATTCTTGTCATCTAACAATACAAAATGTTCTGCACTCTTCCTTTAAGCCGAGACCTGTGAGACAGAAACTGACATTGATTTATCTTTAGTTTATTACTCATGGGCCGTAGCCTGATGAAACTACTGACTGTAATTCCCAGGTCAGTGTTATTTGTTAGAGTTGTGCAGCCATGATAAAGTCACGCTCGTAACGCCTTGTTTGCTTTCACACAGGACGGGGGGTGCACTTGCCCGGGAGATGTCTCCAAGGCTTTTGGTGAGTTGCTGTGTTTTCAAAGAGAACTTGAACTCCAATCTTAGAAAGTATAACTAGCGTGAAAACGGAGTTTGCTTGTTTGGCTCTCAGGTGCTGGAGCAGACTTTGTGATGCTCGGTGGTATGCTGGCCGGCCACTCGGAGAGTGGCGGCGAGATCATCGAAAAAAACGGCAAGAAGTACAAACTGTTTTACGGCATGAGCTCCGACACGGCGATGAAGAAACATGCGGGAGGCGTGGCTGATTACAGGTTGGCGTCAGGTGCTTGGCTGTTAGAGGAAGGTTATTTAGGTGAAATGTCTCCCCGGAATGTCATTCATTCATTTTCTTTGCCTCCAGAGCGTCGGAGGGGAAGACCGTGGAAGTTCTCTACAAAGGTCCGGTGGGCGACACCATACGAGACATCCTGGGAGGGGTCCGCTCCACCTGCACGTATGTCGGTGCAGCCAAGCTGAAGGAGCTGAGCCGCAGGACGACCTTCATCAGAGTCACCCAGCAGCTCAACACCGTCTTCGGGAACGACAGCTGAACGCCCGGCTTTGCAAAGAAAGAAGCGGCGCCGGTTTGACTCCCACATGCCATTTGTCTGTTAGTCTGGTGTAAACTGAAGCGAGCAGACGTTTTATTACTTAAAAACATCATATTTTGATACTCGTTCAGGTAGTATGATGTTAACATTCAGCGCAGCTCTAGCTGTGTAAGTTCCACTCTCTATAACAGAAGTATTTTCCAGCACAGACTCTGGGTCTCATCACACTCTGAATATTCCAGGTCTGAGTGTGTTTCCAGGTAGTAAGATGCAGGCTACCTCTGCAGGCCTGCTCTCTCATCATTCCAGTGCAAACTCCTAAAAGCCTTTGTCACTGACATATAAAATTATCATAAATGTCTTAAATTATTTATACATCCTAAATGTTTCTGCAATTGCTGTAACAAAATTATAACATCGACTTGTTTTTTAGAAAACCTGTCATTCCTTTGCTAAAGTTTTGCACTTTAATGAGTTATACTTTCTATAAATGATCTGTCTATTTGTACTTTTGTCTTACCTGGTTCAGCTGCTCCTGATCAATACCAAAGTTTGTTTGTTTCCTTTTACAAACGAGAGCTTCAAGTGGATTTACTGTAATGATTAAAGCCTTTAAATAAACTGATTCCTTCATGTTAGCTTCAGAAGCCTTCAGTGTGAGTATTTAACAGGATTTAGTTTCACACAGTTCATTTCAAATTGTTCTTATGTAAACTGTTATTTTCTTTGTCATATTTGAGTGAAGATTTAAAAAAGGCAGTTTTTATATTTCATAAGTCACGTTACATCTCATCCAGTCAATAAAAACCTTCCACAACTTCAACCTCCAATGACTTTATTATTGATTAGATCATTTACAGTGTGTACACATGAAGCTAAATATTTCTGTTTACTTACATCAGTATCTTAGCCTCCTCCCATCAAACCTGCACAGGGATAAATGCACATGATCCAGTATGGAAGACACATAATTAGCCAAAGTGCCTGCATTGATAAAGCCTGTAAGCAGGGCCCAGAGGATGTTCAGGGGTGATCTTGAAGCATGCTGAAAGGTTACTTTGATACAAAAACATGTCGACTACCCCAGCTGTGAAGCAGTAACACATTCAATACCAGCAGATGGAGACAAACACTTTAAAAAGGAAGGCTGGATAAGAAAACTACATTATATTCAAGCCCCAGAACAGAATGACAAAATGAAAAAAGGCAGCTTTTATATTTCAAAAACTCACATTTCTTATGGAAAATTCTAGTTTATCCTCACATTTAGATTTGTGTGTTTAGGTATAACCTTTGTATGCTCAGAAGGATGAAACTCAGGGCCAGCGCCAGGAGCTTCCTGGGAAAACATAGTGGGAGTTGCTCTCTGCCCAGCCACAGCCCGTGGGACAGAAACCTGTTGTAACTAAAAGATACACTGCAGTAACACAGGTGTGAGATCTGGCACTTCATGCACATCTTCTTTGCTGGCTTCCTTTTATCCTCTCCACACATGTCACGGAGAACAGTTTGTGGCTCTGTTCTTCTCCTTTTTGTTTGTATGTTGTTAGACATGTTTTCCCAGCAGGAATGCCTCCATGAATGCAGTCCTTGATGCTCTCTTTTAATGAAACTGAGGATTGCTTGAAATCTGACGAATCCTTGAGTTTTTCATTTTTGATTTATTTATTTTTGCCTGTTTCTGGTGAAAGTCTTCAGCCTGCTCAGGAGCACTCCACAACAGTTTCAGCTCTCTGGAAAATATCCCACCACTGCTAAACAACACACTGAAAGACTGGTCAGACAAGTTTGACTGAAGCTCCCTTGTAATGTTTGCAGTTTGGTTTAACTAACAAGAAACATTCTCAATGTCACAAATACAGAGTAAGCTACTGATTATATTTAAGCAGCAATACACCAGCCATAATTTAGCACAAGAGTGTTGAATTTGCACCATTTATGATGACAAAACCTACTTTAGACTACTTTTGCAAGTTTTAGCAGTAGAGAGACTTTTGCACAGCCAGCACCACATGTTCATTTACAGATAATCAGCATTTTAAGAGGAACTAAAATTTACATGGTTAATAAGAAATGTGGTGATGTGGGTTTTGGACAACAGCATGAGCATTAGTTACAGAAGTTCACAAAGCACCGCTGTTATTCGTGCCGCACCAATAATCTTTCCACAAGAGCAGGTTGATTTGGAATACGTGGGATAAACAGACCCTCCATAATGGTATCCATCAGTAGACTCACCATAAATCTTCCCACAGGAGCATTTCCACTGATTCTGATATTGTTGCTGAACTTGTCCAAACATAAATGCACTTGCACTTGACCCAAAGATCGATACATTTGTCGCTTCCTTTTCTAAACCCTGGAGACAAACAAAAGGCTTGAGGTCTGAGCTGGTAGAGCTGATTGTTACTGTGAGTAAGTTTATTCTCTGGTGCTGCCCAATCCTGCTGAAGAATGATAATGAGTCTGGAAAGCTCCACACAACTTCCACTACATGTGGTCTGTTCATCTGTGGTTCCACATTTCCATCTGCAGTGTTGATCACTTGTTGGGAAACCACTGGCCACTTTGTTGTGAGAGAGATGAGCTGGTTACCTTGGCTGCGTAGACCATAGACATTTCCATCCTTCATACTGGCTGCATAAGTGTCGTCACATAAACCGATGGTCCAGTCACAGTCTTTGGAAATGCTGATCACCCATCTCTTAAAGTCAGGAACAGGAAGTGTACTCTTAATGAAGAATAGGAAGGAAGAACAAAATTTCATCCACTGACTGTGGAAAACCTTCCTGTTGTC